GCTTTGGCAAAATTTCCTGATATATCAGGGGAAGTCCAAAGAAAATTATTCATCTGGACATTTCCTGCATATTCTCTTTATCTTGTGAAAATCATTTGTTTGATAGAAATCTTTTCTCCCTTTTCTATTATCACTGATGTTGCTATAAAATTATTTAAGCCTGAATTATCAGTTCAGTCTGTTGTCATCAATTTGCTGACACCTATGTCATCAAATATAAAAATGTGTATGTAACAAAGCAGTAAAATTGGCAAGTAGGGTCAAAACTGATAACATTATCAAACCATGGAGAAAATCCTATTATTTTAAGTTTGCCTATCTCTAAAGATAGACATGAAATAAATTATAATAAGCAAATAGTAAAAATGTATCACACTAAAGCTGAAAGTTTAGGATAAAAAGAAAATTATAAGACAATTCTCTTTTGCTTGAACTAGACCATTTCTGTACTTGAAGCTAGATTAAGACTATAATTTTAATAGTTTTTAAAAAAATTTATATTGAATTGTCATATTCAATACATCTTTAACTGAAACTTCCCTAATAATAGTGATTAATGAAATCTCAATTTTTGGGGGGCCCTTTTATATAATGTAAACTCAGTGATTCTTTTATTAAAGAAAGCTAGGAGGCATAAAGAAGATAAACTGTAGTCACTTTCTGGTAGCAACCATTATAAATTCTATCATATAGATTTGTTAAAAAACCTAAAGAAATTTAAAAATTGATAAATTTTCATGTGTATGTCATATTCTGTAGTATTTATTCTTTTGGGAACTTAATGAGTTAGATACCAAAAAAACCCATTATCTGTTTGTGTGGTGGAGGTTAAGGTTTTTTTCTCAAGACATCTGGAGCTCTTAGGAGCTAAGTTTACGGAAGGTCCTATATTCATACATTAGGTTGAAAAAAAATTATCCATCATGTTAAAGTTACCTTAAATTGTATATTACTTAACTTGTTTGATTCACTTGGTAAATATCTAAAACCGCTCATATGAAGTCTTACAAAATAAACAAAGTTCTTAAGTAAACTTAAGTTTAGCAAATCTTGTTTATTTTACACACACATATACAATTCAACTTCTTTGATTTTTTTTTCCCAATTGAATAACATTCTCCAACTTTATAAAATCAGAATTTTCTACTCCCTACCCCTGCCATGGAATTAGTAATAAAAGACAGAGGTACTACCTTTACAAATTAATCTTTTTAAAGAAAGCAGAAAAAGCATATCTAAATTATACTTTTAACTCCAAATATTTGGTTTAACTTTTGGAATCTTTTTATGTGAAATTTTTCAGAGAAGTCACAAATTAGTATGCAATAACATTAAAAAAGGAATTAAATTAGTGAATGTGGTGAGAAAAAAAAATGAAATCATGTTTGCCTTTGGAAAATACTCCTATAGCATGCTGACTTAAATTTTCTTTATTTTTTAAAGAATTTATTTTTTAATGGAAATGTATTGATTGTACATATTTATGGGATACAGAGTTATATTTCAATGCATGTAAACAATGTGGAATGATCAAGTCAGGATACCTAACAAAGTCACCATCATAAAAATTTACTGTTTCTTTGTGATGAGAACATTTAAGTTCCTCTCTTCTAGCCATTTGGGGACACACAATAAATTATTATAAATTATAGATACCTAGCACTACTGTATACCATTAGAACTTATTTTTCCTATCTGGCTGTAATTTTGTGTCCATTAACCAGATTTTCTTTAAATCTCCTACAATTTTTGAGAGGAAATATTTAAAAATTTTGAGTAGTTAATTCATTATTCAAAATAATGCTAACTAAAAAACAACAATAAGGATAATGCTTTTTAAAAAATACTTTAAACATTTCCCTAATTGAGTTTTTCAAGACTAATGACAGGATAATTCAGTTTTTACATTTACAAAATAGTCCAGCTATCTTTAATTTTTTAAAATTTTTTATTTTTTTAGGAAATTACTTCTGAATTTACATGGTCATTCTCAAAGTAGGTAGGAAAAAATGAAAGGTGGTCTAGGTATATCTGAAAATATTGCCAGGTTGCTGAGTGTGTAGGAAGCAATATGGAGTTCTTTGGCAAGTTCCCATGTCCATGGGAAGTAAAGAACAAGGCAGATGAAGTAACCAGTCATGCTCCCTTTTTTAATAATAGAAAAGGGACCCTGACAACAAGGCACTTTGATTTCAACCAGGAAAGGCTTTGAGAAATACTGATCTGAATTATGAATGTCTTGATCAATGCTTTTTTACTTTTGGACACTAATTCTATAGTTTTCCTCATTTTAGGTTGAAATTTGCTTAACTAGTTTTAACATCTTGATTCTATGAAATGATTATTCTTTCAACAATCCAGTTGTTTTATTGTGTTCCACACTAAAGTTAGTTGGAATTATAGTGAAATGCTCAATAACACTACTGTTGGAGATAAGGATGAAAACAGAGGGTAACATAACTTATGAGGAGTTGTTGGTTTTTTTTGTATATATAGTCATATTTCAGGAATAATTCAAATACAGGACTCATATACACATCTGTTTAATAACAAATAGAAAGTATATGAATTAACTCAATTTTTGAAAAAGCCATTTCTATAAAACATCAGCAACCCTTTTATGCAATGTAGTGGGATATTTCCTGGCCTAGGCATTACAGAGATATGTGTAAAATCATCTGGTAATTAAATAAAAGGTTCAGTTAGCTACCATTTGTCTGCAAAGGGTACATATGCAAAAAACTGCATATTGTCTATGCAACTTTAAATAACACGTCTCAATTATTTCTTTTTAATAATTTGCTATTTAAATTGACTGAATTTCTTAGTCTGTTTTGAGTCGGTTTAGACTTTAAAAAAATATTAATCACATTCTTCTTCATATGAAATCAAAGTTAAGAAAATTCCACAAATTTACTAGCTACATTAATGATATTATAGGAGTAATCTAATTCAAAAAAGTAGATGTTTGGATCTTGTGATAGCTATCTTCCTACTGATGAGCACAAAAAGTTTAGACTAACCACTCTGGATCCTGGAGAACAATTAAGATATAGTCATGATCTCCTTTGTGTCCATTCTCAATCCGCTTTTTTTACAACCCAGTCTACAAATCTACTTGTCTATTTTTATTTATTCCCTGGATGAGGTTATATACTGTTTTTATTATGGAATAAATTATATTTTAATATCTTATGTACTCCCATGAACACATATTTCTAGATCTGTGCTTAAATATTAAACTGAAATGCAAATATACATGCATCAATTTGCTTTGGTGAATCAAAGACAGGGGGTACTTCTGCGTTGTATGGAATGACCACATACAAATATGCAAAATTCCAAGCACCTGTTGAGAGGTCCTTGGAGTAAGAGAATGGCTCCACAAAGCTGAAATGTGCAAAATATGGTGCTGAAAACTTAGTTACAAAGATGGGAGTACTCTACCCCAAAGAGAGGCAAAATTAAGGATATTCTATATCTATAGTGCTCCCATCAATTTTTGTTTATACATGAATTGATGTACTACCCCTACTTGTTTTCCTCTCCCTGGAGTATCTGATGACAATATTACCTGATTACTTACTGAAGTAGCAATACCAAAGAAATAACATCAAGCCATTAATAAGACAATGGAATTGGCACTTCAGTAGAATATGGAAGAGAAAGAAAAACTGAATTAGATCTGATACTCCATGTCACTGTAATGAATTGGGTGGTAATGTAACTTTTTACACTATCAATTTTATGTTAGATATTCTATGAGCTAAAAACACTCAAAAATATGTTATCTAATGCTTTACAAGGATTTAAGACAGTGCCTTTTATATTAGTTGTAAAAAATTGGTAAGAGAGGGAAGTTCTAAAATGAAGATAGTAGTTCTATTAAGGAGTTCTATTAAGGTATTAAGGAATTGTTAACGTTTGGTTAATGACTAGATTCTGACTATATTTTTCTCAATCTAGTATAAATTAAAGAAACACAAATAAACCTTTTATTCTCAAATAGTACTAAAATGGTGTTGAAAATGTCAGGACCCATTCAGATATATGAATTGAGTCATCAAAAATATATATTAAAGTTGCTAATTTAAAGATATATCCACAATTTCAAAGTCAACAAAGCATGGTAGGTATCCTAAGATCCTCCATGAATGGGTATTAATGTCAACAAAAATATCCCAAATCTGAAGAAAGCAATAATTTGTAAAGAACTCCAATAAACATTTATTAACATAAAAAGTTCATGGTCTTACAAGTGTACTTGAAATGGGTGTTTAGTCCATTCTCTTTGCCTTCACTAGTTGAATGAATGTCATATTCCTAGGACTTGTGGAAATCTGTGTAACTATAAACATTTTCTATGCCAATTAGATTATTTTCAAAATTAAAATAATTTAATTCTACCATAGTAGTAAATATCAAATGGACAGTTGAATAGGTACGTGATTATTATTGTTATTTACAAACTAACAATCTTCATGAATATCACTGTAGATTCAGTGAAACATTGATTAACTTGAATTTTCAAGAAAGCATAATCTGGTTCTTTGAATTTTCTTAATTCAGAATATAAAAGGTTTTTAAAAACCTTCCAAAGATGGTTTTCAGATACTCTGCAGCCTTAAAATTAACACTATATGCAATTCAACTGTAAAGTTGTTAGACTGATTTTGTTTAGGTTGTATTTTACTAGGTAGAAGTTACATAATCACTCTGACACAATGAATATATTATAACTTTAACTTGTTTTTTGTTACTGCAGTTAGAATTACTTTATGAGCATAGACAAAAAGTAGAGTCATTATTTTATAGTCTTGTCCCTTTTCTGTTATCAAATTTTACCTAAGATACTTAAAAAATTAAAGGGAAAAATTTGTATTAGTAATATAAATATTTTTAAACATGGTGCTGCTCAAAAAAAAATTCACATCAAAACAAAATCAAAAATGTAACTACATGGTTGGAATAAGTGTCTATGCTCTTAAGCCAATGATTTCTATTACAGCACTGATTTTAATGTGTAACTTCTCACTGTAATTTAACCAATATCAGCCTTTATAGTAATACTTCACAAAAAATTGTTGGTATACTGATATACCAAGCACAGTGTATTTGAACAAAAACAGTCTGGGCATCAGGAAACCTTAGTTCTAGCCTCAGCAATGCCCTTACCTATGTAAGGGATAATGCACAAACCACTTGACTTGTTTTTGTCACGTGTAAAATGAGAGGTTTGGACTAAAAAGACTTTGATGTACCTTGTATCCTCATGTTTTAAGCACCTAATTATTAAATTATTCAGAAGTAAAACTTTTAAATAAATTTCTTTATTGTGATTTATCTCTCTTCCAAAAGAGCATCACATTTTAAAACTCTGAGAATATTAGTTATTAATATTTTACTGCATACTTCTACTGTGAATTATAGTAAAAGCTACCATGACCCTTAAACCAATTTTTACATGAACTTGAAACTGTTTTTTAAGAATTAATGATTCCCCTATCTTGCCACAACCTCATTACTGTTGCCTTGTTTTTTGTTCATTTCTGTTTGTTTGCTTTTTAATTTTGGCAAAGGATTTGAAGAGATTTCAACAAGGTCTTTTCTTTTTCCTTATGTTGCTGGTTTTCATGAAGGACTGTCCATCTCTAAAATGTCTAAAAATATACATGAAGTTAATCTGAGGGCTTCTTCCTCACCCTATTCCATGATTAGACATTCCGACCTGTACACCCTTCATCCTTTGTCATATTTGATCCTATACAGCTCCTTGCAGGTGTTAAAGCCAAAAATTACAGGAAGATGGTAACATCCCTGAACTATGGAAAGCCTGTGGTAGGCAAAGATTGATTGCAAATTTTATTCTAAAGAGTTAACTAGATAAAGTGAAAATGATTCACCCCTATGTAAATGGATGAATGCCATTCTGTAGTATAAACTCTTAGCTAGCAAACTATATTACCTGCCCATGGGTATGGTAAAATATGTATAGAAATACAAAAAGATTAAGTTACACAATGAAATTCTCCTATACCTTTTGAACCCTTATCATATTATTGCTATATTAAGAACTGTGGAAACTGAATCCCAAACTTCTTTTCTGATACGCTATTCAGATTTGAAGGCTGGAAGTCAAGACCCAGGCTACTCTCTGCTTTTCAGCAATCCAATACTAGCAGAATTCTGAAAAGGTAGTTTCACCATTGCCACCCCTGAATAAAAAGGAAAGAGAATAGATGTCAGGTAATATCAACATCAGATGTCACAGGCAGTCATCAGGTTATTCTTTCAGCTGCTTACCAGTGTGACTCCTTTTATGTACCATAAGCACATTGGGCCCAATGCAAACCATGCCACAGACGTCACATTTCAGTTTACCATTCGGAAGCCGGATTCCTCCCTCGCCTTGAAGCTCCTGGACTTTCCTGTTGTCAGCCACTTCGCTGCTCTCAATTAGGGGTTCTTCTAGGCTGCTACCCTCATCATGGCCCCTGATCTCGTCTTCGTGGCTCAGGGGTTTCCTGTCACACTCTTCATCACTCTGCATTTCTAGCTTTACTGAATTTGCTGTAATTTAAAAATTAAAGAGATGTTAAATACATGTATGTGTTCTCATGTGACTACATCTCTTTTCCACCCACTTCCATTCTTTAAATAAGTAAGAATTATAGGTTAAGTAGAATACAGTCCATCACCAAATGCCATGTTCACTTATATTGTACTGTATGATATTTTAGTGAAGCTTTGGCATAAAAATGAAGATGGCTCAGGAAAGCTGTAGGTAAAAAAAATGACCCTCTATTTCTGCACACATTTATTTCTTTAACTCAGTTATTTACTGTTTAAGCAAGTCTTTAAATAATTTTGGTATTGGCTTTTGAGTCTGTCACTAAGTCTACTGAGACTAAGATAGGATTATGGATGAGACAAGATTAAATATTGCTTAATTTACTGAGCCATGCCTCCTCTTAATTTAACAACCATTAGATATACTTCATACTCTCTGTTTCACATCACAGTACTTGTGTAAACCTGCTTCTGAACAGAGCAAGAGAAACAACTCAGAATCTTAATCCAGCAACTTTTGACACATGAAGATACACTGTTAAGGCAAATGTTCTAAAATCAGACTAAACACATATATTCAGTTAAGAGCCGTAAAAATGTAGGGCAGGGTACACATACCTAACAAGCTCTTAAGTTACTCTGCTTTTTTTCCTAGATGAAAAAAATTCTGTATGGGACATATTAGTCTGCAAATCAAAGTATTTTAACTCTGATCTTTGCACATCGAAAAGGAGCTAATGACAGGAATGGCATATCATGCGTGTTCACACTTGAAACTGTGAAGAAATTTAATGCCTTCTGTTTGCTGTTCTTGGATCATCCCACAGAAAAGTTGGAATTTTGTTAGCACAGCCCTCATTCTGGATTGCTGACAAAGTCTTTTCACAGAGCAGAAGCAAGCTTTAAATGAATATCAGTTTTTTATCCAGTGATCTTGAAAATTTCTTAAGAAATCATATCAAAGTTACTGAGCAAAACAAATTATTTGGTACTACTTGACTAGAGGAAATATTTTCATAAAAAGGAAGTAAGTTCTTTTCGCTGCAATTGTTTTCTGAGAGAAACCACACATTCTGTGATTTGTCATTGTACTTATCTTGACAGGAGTGCTATTAAAATGGTTCTTCCCCTGCTCCTCTCCTTGGAACGCCCCTATTAGCTACAGGCAGTGTGGTATAAGAGTACTCACAGTACAACCTTGAACGAATTGTTTAACCTCTGAATCTTACGTTTTAATTTGCAAAGGAGACGAATTCAGATTACTGAATAAAGTTTATGTTTTATCTATTAAGAGTGACAATGCTTAAATTCTTAAGCATCTTAAAGAACTTTTGTTCTCTGTGTCCTCCATAAAATGGGGATGACAATGGGACCACTTCCTGGGGCTGATGTGAGCATTAAATGAATAAATATAAGAATGTGCTTATCTATGATTTGTCTCTGGACATACAGTGCTGTATTTATTCCATGAGGTTTTTGTGAAGATTAATTAACTTATAAGTATGTGAACTATAGTACTCTAAGATCTACAAAGGGACACACATCTTGGCTAGGCACATCTCTACTAGAGAATCTCTACTATATTGAGTTTTACCTTAATTATGAATTGACACTTCCTTGCTGGTTTGTGAGAAGAGTAGGGACAATATTTTACGCATCTTTATATCACCAGCATACTCAAGAACTTTGTGGTATATAGGAGATATTCAAGCAGTACTAAGATGTTTTACTAAATTTATTAAGAATTCTATTGCTTTAAACTTATTTTGTATGTTTAAAGAACCCATGCACATAGTAAATAAAAATCAAACAACATAAAGGATAAAAATAAAAATTAAGTTCTTTTCTACCTAAGGCTCACAAACCCTTAGTTAATGTCTCAAAAGCAACCAATATCATAACTTTCAAATTCAGAAATGTGTCTGAAGCCATTTTATAAATGTAATGTAATTTATTAATTCAGATTCCATCATTAAAAACTTAAGATTATTTCTTGTTTGTTTCTATTTTAGACATTATTTTATACCACCTGGAATTGCCTATCTGATAGGTCAAAACTGGTATTTCACTATAGTTTTTAATATGCATTTTTAAATTATGACTGAAATTAGGCATCTTTTCTATTTTTAAATGTTTATTTTTTTTCTGAGAACTGTTTATCAAAATTGTCTGCCCACTTTTCTACTAGGTTTTCAGTCTTTTATCACTGAATGTAAATACTCTTTATGTAGTAAGGAATTTAGCCCTGTGTTTACGATGTGTTTTGCAAATATTTTGGTTTGGTTTATCCTTCTACTCAGGGTATTTTTTAGCATAAATGCTAATTTCACATGTTGAATTTTTAAAGTTTTCAATTATGGCTTCTGGGTTCTAATATCTTACTTCAATAGGATTTTCCATACTACAAGAAATTCTCCCATATTTTTTTCTGTTAAAGAAGACTTCTAATCATTGCAAAATGCTATTGGTTACTCGATGCAGTCCCATATTTAATTCATAATTGTCATTTAAAAAATTAAGAAAAAAAAATGAAAAGCATGACTTTATAAAGCATGATTTTATACCATTCTGTGAGCAAACTGTCCCACATGTTTATTTCAAGTAATGTACTAAAGACTACAGTTTCACAGCAATGCCATCACTTGACTAGACTCGCCAATGTTTGATAAGCTACATTTAATGAGCATAAAGTCTACCAGAATTCCACTTTAAGGACTAAAGAAATATATACCTAAAAGTGTAGTTTTTGAGTCTGAAACTACAGGCCTCTTAAATTTCAAAACAGCACAGAATTATGAAAAATATGATCTGATGTACAACATTAAATTATCATCTCTAGTGAGAATATAATAATAGGGAAATTAAAACAAAATATCAAACATAGATAAAAATGCCATTTAAAGAAATATCAGATATTACAAGGCTGGCTGGTTAGCTCAATTGGTAGAACATGGTGCTGATAACTCTAAGGCCAAGGGTTTGGATTCCCATACTGGACAGCTGCCCCCCACCAAAAAAAACTATAGGATATTATAAATACAAGTTAGAACCTTCAATCCACAGAAGAATATAAATGAAATAAATACAGAAAAAAATGTATGTTTTTGCTAGAACTGAAATAGAGAAATGGTAAAGATATAGTAATCTTTTCTCTAACAATACTATAGTCTAAGGAATTATACATTTATCATGTATGAATGTACATCCTTTTGCTGTACTGATATAGTAAATCAATAAAGTGCAACACATTTTAATATATATATATATATATGTTGGAGATTAAGTTTTGTTTATATATGATGACCTATGTATGAAGTATTTAATTTTTAACCCATCTCACTAAAATTTGTCTGAAATTCTAAGATAAAAGCAATTAATCAAACAAAGTAATATTTGAATCTTACTTTTAAAAGTTTCATCTCATCAAAGAAACTTTCCCATGATTTACTGTCACTATTTAAAATGTTTCTAATTAATGCAGAGTACCTAATATTTTAACTCAGAAATAATTAAATTAAGCGTTTGGTAAACTTACATATACTGTAAATTATAATTTATATATTAATAAAAGAGTTGTATAATGACTATTTGTATACGAAGCTATTATAACTATTAATCATTGTATAATAATATCATAGTATTTTACTTTTCAAATCTTTGAAATTAGATTTTTGATCTTGATTATATGAAATTACTTTTACAATTTGCTAAAAGAAGACATTCTCATAAGTGTGCTATAAAGATGAGAGCTTGTTAATTTGAGTAAAATGAAATCTTGGTATTACAAATCTCAACACCAAGAGTTATTTTTCAAGCTTGTTTCCCTATTATGAAATAAATGATCTAAAACTCAAACATATCTGTGGGAATTTATATACATTATTAAATACTGACAAGCAATAAATGCTTAATAAAAAAAGTATTTTGTCACAAAAATTATTAGCAATAAAGGGGGATATAAAATAAGATTTCAGTAAATTGGTCAACTTGTTCTTTGTTATTCAATGTTGTAGCCACTAATAACTATATTATACAGATATTTGAATATTTACAATGAATAAAACAAAGAGATTTAAAATACGTAATTTTGCTTTCTTAATATAAAGAAGATAGGTTTTACATTTTAAAACAAAAGTCAACTTTTAAAGGATTAGTAATCAAGAAAATGCTATTTTGTGCATAGCAGTCAATAATCGATGATAAAAAGGTTTCTTATACTGAAGTTGTAATGGCTTTTCGATTTAGACTTAGATTTATCTCTAATTGTTCTATCCATTTTTTTAAGTAGACTCTGAGGCTTGTGAACACATGAAAAGGATAAGTTAGAAAATCTTTATGATCGACTTTATATAACAAAAGCTTGCAATATATTTCAGGATAAAAAGTTCCACATATATTTTTCCAAAAGATTGCTTCATAATGCAAATATGTTTATGAATTCTAGCTTTTCCCCCCTCTTCTTATCTATGATTTCAAAATGCTATTTCATAAACATTAGAATTTAATCTTATAGATGGCCATAAAAACACATAGTTTAGTCATCTCCATTTACAAATGACCCTACCAATGTGGAGAAGTACAGAGATTTACACAGGAGCTCTTTTCTTTTCTTTTCTTTTCTTTTTTTTGTTGCCTCTTTCGTGATTGTTAAGGGGATCGCAACCCTTGGTGTGGTGTTGCCTGCACCGCGCTCAGCCAGTGAGTGCACCAGCAGTGCCTATATAGGATCCGAACCCGCGGCAGGAGCGACGCTGCGCTCCCTAGTGCTGCACTCTCCTGAGTGCAACACGGGCCGGCCCAGGAGCTCTTTTCTTAAGTGACTTTCAGGCCAAACAGTGATAAAAGTTCCTTCACTAACCGTACTAGGCACTCTGCACTCAAACACCTTTATAATTACCATTGTTTCTAGTTATATAATAACGAATGTATGGTTACACGAGACTTGCCTTTAATTCACCATATGACAATAAATAAAGAGATAACTAAATAAAGGCATTTAC